AGAGAGAGAGAGAGAGAGAGAGAGAGAGAGAGAGAGAGAGAGAAGATCCTAACACAAGGAGACAAGTAGAGGTCAGCAGTTGGTGAGTAAGAATTGAAAAAAGAAAAAATACAGAAAAATGATGATGTGAGGTTAGTGTTTGGGTTGGTAAAGATGGTGAATAGTTTTGCTTTGCTTGGAAATGCAGATAAAATGTATTCCCCACTTACCTCATAATAAAAACTTGCTCCACTAAAAGGCAAAATGGAGGCCCCAATCTTCATTATTGAGCACCCACCACCACCTTTTCTCCCTTGCTCTTCAAGATTTGTTTGTGGTGGAAGACTTGGTTTTCATTTCACCTATATATCCCACTATCCACATCACACACACACACACACACACACACAATATAAAATATTGATCACATAAAGCATATCTCAATGTCAAATTGTCAATTCATAACAAAGAAAAAAAAAACATCATTTTACAAGACAGCCCATGCCCACTGATATAATGTTGAATCTTTGCCCTTCGAACAACAGAAAAAAAATAAAATAAAAAAAAAATTATATATATATATATATATAATAAAAAAAATAAAAGAATATAAATGAGACAGTCAAAGAAAACTAATAATGACTGTTATTAAGTAGTTGCTCATGTACCAAGCAGTCGTGATCATAATACATCAGAATAGACCCTCCGACGCTCAGCTCAATTCAAACATCAGCAGCAAGCTAACAACTACATTGAAAATAGTCAATTATGGAAAATTAGGAGGTGGCATCCAGCATTTTTAATTATTAAATCTACCTCATACAAATGTGAACTGTACAAAAAAACTGGAAGACAGGCTTCGGTTTCTATTTGCAACGCAACCTCGTCAGATGCTGCTGATGCTTAGCAGCAGCAGCCTTATCGGCAGCTTCGCGCTTCAAATCCCATTTCGCACGCCGGCCCACTAATTCTTTATTGGGGCTGTCCTTTTTGGGCTCCTTCTTGGGCTGACGAGATGGGCCCGCATCTGGGTCTTGAGCAAACAGGTAACGGACAGGTCTTGCTTCTTGTCTTCCCGCCCTTACGTACCCATTGCCTCCCCATCTGCGATTACCTTTTCGGAGGCTTGAGGAACTCGAAAAATTAAACTCAGCAAGATCATCTTCATCGTCTTTATAATAATAACAATCTTCTATTTTGTCCAGCTCCTCCTTTTCGGCTTCAACCAGAGGCTTAAACCACGAAGCTCTCAGGAGAAGGCAAACACTCTCCTCAAACATGTAATCGTAAATGCTGCACCAAAGAGTATATCGAAAAAATTGGTGCAACTGATAATAATCATATACATCATACATAATAGCAGTGATCTGATGAGTGAAATTTGTTAGAATAGCCAAGAATTCTTGTAATATATACGACATTGTGGTTGATTTATTCCTTCTTCCTTTATCTTAGATATCTGTCATGCTCCTATTTGATATTGTAAGCTCTGGAAAAAAAAATTGATGTACACATGGAAAAATATTGACAATTAACTGAAATCAATTGCCAAATACAGTGCATGCCAACGACCATGATCATACTAAAAACTACAACGTTATATGAAAGCGTCCAATGTCATGCCCATAGCTAGTAAATGTAATTTTAAGGTACAAGACTTGTGATTAATTTGATTCACAGACCATAGCTACAAAACAATCTCAACGATTGAGTGGCGAGACATATCTACACATCTAAATGACATCAGTTAAAAGGAAGGGGCAGTAATGTTATTTTAATACTTAAGCAGCTGCAAGATTTAAGATGCGAATAAAATAACACATGAATACTCACTACTGAAGTAACAACGAATTGCGGTAATGAAAGTCCCAAGTATAATCAGGCTAATTGATAATCTATTTCCTTGTTCTTTGCATTTGCAAGACAAAAGAAGTTAAAAGTGAGTAGGAAACAAAAATGAAAACACAAGAACTGTTTCAATAAGATTAAGGAAACATTATTAATTATAACTATTCACACCAACAAAGAAACTCAAACCAAGAAGATAACCAAGTAGAACTAGCTTTGCCTGTTGGGCAATGCTGATCTCAATGGACAGGTTTGGGCTACACAGCGATGAAATTATACTTTTATCAACTTGAAATATGACAAGTGAACCCTTAATATCAACCCCGAGCAGTTAGGTTTTCAGGGAAAGCAAAAATTGGGATGGATATTCTCCCTAAAAAAATCATTGATTCACCCTTATCTCAAACTTTTGTTGCTATTTTTTCGGCAGTACATTGGTCGAAAACTAAAGTTTATACTAGAAATGAAATTTCTAAAACCAAAATCCTCATTAGTTTCAGCATCAGGAATTTGCCAACAGACACCGGACTAATCAATTCAAAAACCATAGGCACTTCACGAGGACACTCAAGCTGCAAAAGTAAACTGAGGAGTACCAGTTCAAAATCCATCAAACCTAAGAGATCCGATCGCAAAATCTACATACATTCCCATGTTTCAACAAAAAGTTGACGCATATGCAATCCCAGTAACATTTCACACACCCGCAGAGCAGAGCAGAGCTACCCACCAACTTTAACATAAGAAAGACACACAGACAAATGTAACCACGCCAACATCTTACAAATGCAGAAATGCTACCATTAAATAAATAGAGAACCAGACAAACTAGTATGCATGCTCGCAATTTCTTGACGCACGATTTTATTCAAACATATGGCACAAAACCCATGATGGTTAGTTATGTCGGGTTAGTCCCTAAAGTACTCTCCTCTGATCCTGCCGCATAATCTTGCACTGTACCACACAATCACATCCGCACCATACCAAAATCGGCCAAACCTCAACGTAAATCTTATATCAATTTTACACTGGAAATAAAGCAGCTACGCAAATTGAAGACTTTATGCAAGAATTTCGAACCTGGCCTTGGATGGGTAGATCCTGAAGATCCTCAACGAGCTCCAAACCAACGACTTCAACTGAGGCAGACATGATTATTCGGCTCTGTCAGATGCTGCGACAATCTACAAGCTAACAACCCTAAATATTTACAGATAAAAATGGGGGAAATAAAAAGGAAAAGAAGAAAAAAAAAAGAATACGAAGGAGATAAAAGATGGTTTATTGACTTTATTTTGATTCCGAGGGGCAAATGGGAGTAGAGTGCGGGCCAATGGGGCACAAAACCAAAGTGAGTTTCTTAGGGTGCTCGAACTCGGATCGAGCTCTTAAATAAACGAGTCATAAATTGAGCTCGAACCTTAACGTGTCGATCTTAAACTTTAACGAGCTGAGTTATAAAAAGTTTATATAGAAATTTTTCTTTCCGAGTCTCATCGTATCGAGTCGAGCCGAACTCTTTTAATTGAACAACACTAGTTTCGATGTATGAATCAATTATATGCAGCGAGGCATATCCTTTGTTAGGGAGAAAATTTTGTAAGAAAAATCACAAATTTTATGGAAAATGAAAATTTAGTCAAATTTGTTTATCTCTCTCTCTTTTTTT